GGGGTGGGTGTCCAAACTCCAAATTGAATTCACCACACGCGCGGCACAGAAGGGAACCAGTACGTATCAGTATCTTCTCCTCTGTACAATGGGGCACATCTCCACGCAAGCAGGGCCAGGCCAACTTTGATTTGGTGCGGGTGAGCAAATTCCATGTGTGCCAAGGTCGTCACCGTGGATCGGGGTCATCCAGGCTAGTCCCCCTTGGCAGTTCCCAATTTACGTCTGGCCCGCAGCGTGGCGGTGTCTAGTCTCGCATCGAGCCAGCCATCATTTTCTATTGGCTTGCACACCGAGTCGTCCATTATCGCACAACCGAAGCTCGGCATTAGATACTTCATTCAGGTTGGTTATCTGATCTGTTGCGCTCGCTGGGACGACTCGGTATGACGACTGAGAGCTCAACCGCCGCTGGTGACAGCCACTTGGACCCGCTTGCGCGTCGTCAACCAACAGCGCCAGAAAGTCAGAATTGGCATCGCAGGCGGTGGATTCTTTGTCATATGTGCTGTGCACCGCCGAATCACGATCTTTGAATCCGATTCCATAGAAGAGGCCGATGATCCATGACTTGCACAGGTCGATGCTTGGTTTCGGGCGGACCGCCAACGTGGCCGAAGGAACAAATTGGGTGTGATCAACAACAGTTCAGAATTCAGGAGTCACTCCGTGTTCTGGAAGATTACCTGGAATTTTTGCGAGTGTCTTGGCCTCTCTTGAATCCAGATCCACTTCACCGTCTCAAATGGCATTCTACGGACGCTTTGACAATGAGGATTTTCCTTCTAGCGACTGAGAGGCCAGCCAATGGTCGGTGTAAGTCTATCCCCACGAAATTCGAGATACCATGCGAATGCCATCTAGTTACTACGTATGAGTCTCCCTCTAGACTGGTGACGAGCAACCGTCAACCATAGTGGTGATATTAAACACTTGAACAGCGCCGCTAAGGCTTCTCAAGGGTCAATCTCTGCCGGACCCACTATACCTGGCGCAATGCCAAGGATGGCAAGACGTCAATGTTAAAAGTTTCGAAAGGTGATTGCGCTCAGACATAAGCTTGCGTACGCAGTCGGCGCTCGAGCATACCGATCCACCGACTCACATTCTCAATACATGGAGCACTCAGTGTTGGATCCTGATTCCTGGGTTATCGTAGTTATCACAGTGCGGAGAAACCAGCAAAAGCTCCCTAGTCTAAGAAATATCGGGGGCAAGGGTCATTGAGCGGAGACTAACTACTCCGTAGTCCCAACCGAAATCCACTGACAAATTCACTAGCTCAGGACGGACGCACCCTGAGTCGTTGAGAATATTTCTACTATGTTCAGGAAACGCCAGAATGGTCAGCAAAGTGCAATGGCATAAGTTACAGGATATAGGTAGCCAACTCTTTAGTTGAGTGAGTGTCTGGGAAAAATCCCAGACGAGGGGCTTGTCCAGCCTCCGAGGTCCGATCATTGCCCGACGCAAAAGGGGCTAGCGTCGTTATCATACCGTTGTTATTACTAAAGTGGTAATTTGCGGGACGACCACTTTATCTTTACCCGGACTATACCACTCTGGTACGAGTCGAAACAACCCCATTCGCTCATTTGCTATTCGAGAAGAGTGTCGAAAGATCTCCTCAAATTGTGCCACAATGACGCCACTTTGGATTAATCCTGGACAAACCCCCCGTCGGTTCCGGGTCTCTCGGCAAACTCGGTCAAGGCAGCAACAATCTCGGAGATCCGCAGCAGCAATCATTTGGCGCCAGGATTCTGATGCGATAGGCTGCAATATACTGTACTTAGTGGGTTACGTGCTTTTCGGATGCTTGACAGCAAGATCACCATCGATCAACCTGTTGATTTGATCTGATACCCTCCAGCAGCGGCCGAGCATAAGCGATGAGTGCCGCTGGGGAATTGCTCCCCCGATGAATAATCGGCTGAAGATGAAAGTGGTCTTGGCTTGCAAGTAGTTTTGTCTTTGCATTCGCTGTACCTGTTTGACCAGTTTGAGAAAGGTTTGGCAACCACCCGAGCTCTCTATGTTCCAGGATCTGAGATAAGGGCCGGAGTGTGTTTCGCACTATCTAAAACTGTCCGGCCCTTCGATCTTGACTTTATCAGTCAGTGACAAAGGACACACTACATCTAGCGGTCGGGGCTATGGATCTATACCGGACAATGACCTGTCCTAGGCTCATCAAACCGAGGATATCATCTACACCCTGAATGTCGTTGGCATCAAGAATCCCCCTTCCGACATCCTCAACCGCACATCGGGCGGGGTCAATCGCTGAGAGTACACACCCTCAACATTTTTCTTTACTACTGCTTTGGGCTGTGTTCCTCAGCCTCTCCACGACTTTGGTCACCACGCTTGCATCCCACAGCCCGTCCCGTCGGGGCAGTCGCGGGTCTCGAAGCAGGGAGAGTGCTGTGTCCACCGTGGTGGGATCGGTGCTTTTGAGGCAGACGACGTAGAGACCTGCGATGAGCTGCGTGGTGAAGGTGAATCCGGGTGGAGCATCTTTACTTGGCCGGGAATCTGAAGTGTTGCTTCCCCCCCCCACCGCCTAGGTTGCACTCGTCGAGGAGCATGGACATATCGCTCAGAGCGGCGCTTAGCGCAGAGTCTGTAGCAGCGGATGCTGAAGATGCTCCAGGTGCGCGGGTGCGTGTTCTCTAGTAGACCACCGTGGAACAGCTGTGCTTGTATCCGTAAGAGGAGAACGTGCTGTCTGCCTTTCGGGTCTCTGGGTAGAGGTGTGGCAGTGATGGAGCGGATGAAGGCCCGCAAGGCAGCGTCGAGCGCTCGTCGCTCGTGACGGATCACCGACGGGAGGTTGGCGAGTGGAGTGTGCTTGTGGGGGAGATGCACGAGCAGGTGTCACAGGAGTCGTGCTTCGAGGCTGATCAAGTGTGTTTCGAGGCGGTTGTTGGTGTAGTCGCCCAATACATGCCTAGCCAGTGGTGCTGGCATAGTTTCATGGCTGACGAGCACCAACGGACACGAATCATCGTATATGCTGGCTTGAATGTCCAGTCGCGCCAGCAGAGCCCCCAGATTGGGGAGGATATCCTCCGCCACCCCACACGCGGTCCGCGGCACTTGGTGATGGTTGTTGTCGCGGGATATCTTTCGCCCCCTCCTTGCCCGTTAGCTGGCCGCTGTGGCTGTAGTGGTCCTGGTAGAGGGCACTCAGCGTGACGAGTGCATTGCGGATGATGGGCTGGGCGTGGCAGCGCGGGAGGATGAGGCGCGTCCACAGCGTCGGATCGGAGAAGCTTGGGAGACTCTCGACCGCTTGACAGCAGTAGAAGTGCAGCAGTTGCCGGTCGGCTTGGCTGCCGAGAACTTTGAAGGGGATGCTGTAGCTTGTGCCTGTGATTTGTGGTGTGCAAACTTGATTGTTGATAGATGAATGTTTGAATGCATTCACTCACATGTGACCGGGCCTGGCCGCCTTTCCCGGGCGGCTTTCCCTGGGACTTCCTATCTGGGAAAGAGACTGTTTAGGTCGATGACATTGGCCAATTGCTGTTTATCTTTGCATCCACGGTGAGAGCGAAGCTCTGTGAATGGCTGATCCCTTGAATCTGCAGCAAATCACCGGATGGCTCTTGTCTGCTGACTCAGTCAAATGCCCCGCCCCCGCCTGATTGTCTTGTGCCTTTCTACTTCCCACTCATGTACATTCGAGAACTTGACATTGTCTCTTCTCCCCCATTGCTGCTTCATCGTCCCGAGTTACACTGCTTCTTCAGGTCCATCTCTTTGACAATGTCGTCGTCGAGATCTTCATCGCCCGAACCGGACAAAATGCTCCGACCAGAGAAACGGAGACTCCTCCCTCAAGAGGATGATAGCATAGATCCTGAGGACTACCAGATCCACAAACAGCCATCACGATGGCGGTCTCTTGTCCGGAGAGCTCTCGTCACTCTTTTACTGCTTGTGATGACTATCCTCTCCTTGCTACTCTTCTTCTTCCTTGGCCGCATTATCTCCGGCCATCCACAGGGCCCTGCCGGTGACACAAAGCCTCCCGGAGTACACAATCCAATCAAGAATGTTGTGGTGGTGGTACAGGAGAACCTTTCTTTTGATACTTTTGCCGGGGGACTGACCTATAACGCGGACATTGACGGGCTGATTCGTACACAATACTGCAATCCGGCCAATATCTCTGACCCAGTGTCTCCTCAAGTCTGTGCCAAGCCAACCGCGCAGGACATTGCCCCCGATGACCCCGACCACAGCATCGCCGGAGGCAATCTGCAGATCTATGGCACCTATGATCCGAAACCAGGCACTGACCGTCCCACTATGCAGGGCTTTGTGACAGAACAGGTCCGCGCCTATGGGCTTGACGGGAATCTTGGCCGTGCAGCCGAAGTCATCAACTACTACCCCCCCGACCGCGTCCCCGTCCTGAATGCTCTGGCAGAGAATTTCGTTCTCTTCGATCGCTGGTTTGCTTCCGTCCCCGGTCCGACGAATCCCAATCGTGCGTATCTTACATCGGGCACCTCGCACGGCCATGGGTCTAACGATCCCGACTTCGACACCTCCTCCCTGCCCCAGGTCTCCATCTTCGAGCAGCTGACGGCGGCCAACATCAGCTGGATCAACTACTCGAACACCACGGGGTTTCTGCCGGATGCGCTTTTCTATACCTGGACAAAGATCTCTGGTCATGGGGTGTCGAACGTCAAACCGATCGATCAATTCTACAAGGATGCCAAGGCAGGCACCCTGCCGCAGTTCACCTGGATCAACCCGGAATGCTGCTCGTTCACCTCCTTCCACCCACCATCACCAATTCACCTGGGAGAAGGGTTTTTGAAGAGTCTCTATGAGGCACTGCGAGCATCCCCGCAGTGGAACGAGACCCTCTTCATCCTTACTTTCGACGAACATGGTGGCTTTGCGGACCACGTGCCCCCTCCGGAGAATGTGCCTGCAGGGGACGACCTTCCATACACCGAAGCTGCGCGGGACGGCTCGCAGACGACTTTCCGATTCGATCGGCTCGGTGTACGCGTCCCTACCTTGCTGATCTCGCCGTGGGTGGACAAGGGAGCCGTACAACACGGACCGACAGACCAACCGAATGATTTCACCCACACCTCCATCTTGAAGTATGTGGCGGAGCTATGGGACCTACCCTTGTTGACACCCCGCGTAGCCTGGTCCCCCAGCTTTGGCAGTTTGATTCGGGATTCTCCTCGGTCGGATACGCCCGAAAGGCTACCGGAGCCGTGAGCGTGAGATTTTTGGCGGGACGATTTCTTGGTTTCTTTCCTCCATTGGAAGTAATAAAGCACAAATCTGATTATATCTTGATGCTATGCTGGAGCGAGGCTATGCTATGCTATGCTATAGTATGGTATGGTATCACAGGGTGGCTTGCGCCACTATTAGAGTTGGTATGATGATGATGATTGACTAGAACCCCAGCCACTTCTTCCGCTTGGACTGAACGGAGCGCGACCGCGAGTGCTGAGTGATGGCGGAGTTGCGGGTATTAACCCGGTCGATGTCGTACGGATTGGCCTCGTACTGGCGCTGCGAGTCTTCCTCCGTGGAGAGCGAGCCGCCTCGCTCTAGGTCCAACTCGTGGTCGATAGCCGTCACATCCACCCCATCAGCCACAGCTTCCGCCTCTTCATCCTCCACCTCCACCTCCTTCTCTGGGTGGTGCAGGGTCTTGTCGGCCAGTTTGCGCATGAACGCATCCGACTCGGCCGAATACTTGCACTTCCGTCGGATGCTTGCTCCGTACTTGTAGAAGATGAAGGGGAACGGCAGACACGCCAGCGACAAGAATGCCGGGATACAGGAGGCCCAGTGAATGCCCAGGTTGTTGTACATGTAGGTCGTGAACAAGGGGAAGCCCGCACCGAAGCAGCTGCGGATGATCGAGTTCGCGGCCAATACCGAGGCGGCGTAGATGGTGTACGAGTCGATCAAATACGACATGATGTTCAGGAAGACGAGCACCATCCCGAAGCCGAAGGGCGCGGCGGCGATGATGCACACGATCCAATGCACGGAGGGTCCGTTGGTCCACGCGAACCAGAACAATCCGACGGGGATGGTGATGGCTCCGATCATTGTCGGGGGCAGCCGCGCCTCCGGCGGCGCGAAGCCGTTGTGTTGCTCGTGGATGCGCTTGTACCGTTTGTTGTCGTACATGTTGTAGCCCACCGCCGTCATCATCCCGACCATCACCCCGAGGAACGGCAGGGACCCGATGCCTTCGCTCCAGCCGCGCATCTCCTGGAACACGATGGGGAACGCGTCGAACAGCATGTACAGGGTGCCATAGACGATCGCCATGTACAAGGACAGGAGCAGCACGATCGGTTCGGCGAAGAGCAGCACCCAGGGCCGCAGGAGCGCCGCTCCAAAGGCGTTCGCCACGGAAACGCGGCCGCGCTCCCGGTCCAGCTTGCTGAGGTACACCTTGCCGGTCAGCTTGCACAGCCGATCGGCCCGCGCGCGGAGCAGCAATGGGGCGTAGGTCTCGGGGATCATGAGGCACTGGATGATCCAGATGAGGCCGGAGAAGGCCGCCAGCAGGCCCTGCACCCACTTCCAGCCCGCGCTTTCGCCGAGGAAGCCTCCGATGATGGGTCCGATGGTCGGTCCTATTTGATACTAGTCAGCCTGCTGTCGGCAATGTCGATACCTAGGGAGGGAATCTTACCCAAGAAAGGTGCGCCTGCGAACAAACTCATCGCCAGCCCACGCTCCTCAGCGGGGAAGACATCCGCGATGACGCCGCCGGCATTCGTGAGCGGGGACGATCCGAACGAGCCCGCGAAGAACCGGAGGATGATCAAGGTCCACGAGTTGCGGGATCCGGTCGCCCCGGCGCAGAAGACCGCGAGCCCCAGGTACGAGATGGCGAAGACCAGCTGCCGGCCGATCAGTTCGCTGAGGGGCGCCCACACCAGCGGGCCGACGGCGAACCCCAGCACGAACAGCGACACGCCCAGGGTGGCGACCTCGGTGCCGATGCCGAAGGACTCGATCACCTGGTCGATGCTCCCCGCGTAGGCGGACGAGGCCATCGACACGCCAAACGTGGCGAAGGCGGCGATGATGGTGAAGGTCCACTTGCGGTGCTGCGGGAAGAGCATCGGGTTGCGCGGATCGTCGGGGATCCATTCCACGATGAACGGGTCCTCCTCGGTGCCCTGGCCGCAGTAGGGGTGGTTGATGATTTCCTCGGTGACGGCGCCGTGGTCGACCAGGACGCGCCAGTAGGGGATCCGAGCCGGTCGGGAGGACGCCTTCTCAGTTGATGCGGCCATTGTTCAAGTTTATTTGACTAGGTGAGCGCCAGTGGTTATTTTTGAGTCCGACGGGAGGGTAGCGGCCGCGGCGCTTGGCGCATTGCTTGCTTGGCTTGAAGCCGAAGATGCTTGTTCCTTTTGGCAACGGGCAAAACCAAAAATCGAACCGAGAAAGGCGAGGGCTTTCACGGCCAGGGAAATATTTCCAACTTTATATGAGTTGGGGAATTTACGTGTGGTCTATCGTTACGAGAATTGCAGATCGGATGGTGCTATCAGAAATGAAATTTTCTTCTTGTAAGTGGTTCAACCCCCCATCCTGAGGAATTCTCTGGTTATCTAGCTGGGTTATCGGGATCATTGTGATTTAAGGTCAGACCACGCGTGCAGAAACTGGCCGACTGGAAGCATTGAATCATTGGGTCAGGCACTAAGAGGGGAAGAGGGGGCGGCGGCGAGTCAAGACTGCAGTCGCATTGGCTGCGAGTGACCCGCTGAGGGGCTGGCCCCCATTCCTTCGGCTATCGCTTCGGCAAACCGACGGCCTGGAAAAGGGTGCCAACCGAGGTATCGTCTGCTGCCTGTATTGATTCGAGATTGGGTATGATGTCCGTTTGGCTCGGTATGCCGGATTGGAATTTCTGGAAGACATGTCACTGTAGAGTGGGGATTGATGGATATGTTGTGCTGGAGGTGGAAGCTTAGCTTTATAGTGCTGATTGAAGGTGGTTTGGCTGTTGGTTGGGTCTGGCTGTGACGTCATTGGACTGGTTCTTGGGTTTCGCTCTGCTGCTGTTGGGTTTGCTGGGGGGTGCATTTGCAAATAGTTGGGTATAGATTCGCAGAAAGTATGTATAGACTATTCACTTGCGACATAGACAAAGACTTAACCAAGGTGCTGCCAAACGGCGCTTGTGAAAGCCGCTGGCGGGCTGGCCCTACCTATTTATCGTTCACACCAACCACTATACAACAATGTCAGGCGTAGGGTTGATTTGAGGACACCTCTTTCACCCACAGTTATCATTAACCAGATGCCTTGGGTTCACCCCTGCTGTCGACCCAGGGT